TTGTTACGCATATTGATAAGATGATGGGGAATTAATTTATGTTGAGAGAAGAATTGTCTCTTCAGGTCTGTACAAATATGTTTATCACGCTTGAAACAGAACTGGAAGAGGAAACGTGACAAAGTATTGAAAATAAGGAACATTCGCGCAGACAGACGGATGGAACAGATTGAATCTAGACGCGATTCTTGACGCGACTATCGACCGTACGGCGACATTAGCCACGGTTGAGTTGTCGACTCTCGGCTTGAAAATGAAAAAATATATTGCCCACCGCGGAGCGGAAACTTCCAGCCGAATGGCGGTCTATTTTTTTTATTTCATATCTCGCTGAAAATAAAAAAAAAGCATTTTACGCCGACTCTTCGCGTATTTCTTTGGTATTTCGGCCCTTTCGCTAAAACAAACCCAATAAAAATCGACACGCATATCCCTATTTTTCAATTGTCTATAAAGTATGAACGTCAGATACACACGCGTTCTCTCTTCGAAAAACGATTTTAAACAATTCCGACACACGTAGACATTTCCAGAATTAATCGTAAGAGCGAAATAAAAAAAAATGCATTTTTTTCTGTCAAGAAATTAGAATTTGACGCGATACAGGAAAGATCGTGTCGTACGAGAAATAACAAAAGGTTAATCTTATTTGGAGTGCGAGAACGCGGTCGTTAACGATCCGCTGACTTTGTCGCCAATTTGAATCCTTTCCACGGGGGAAGGCGCAGACGGATTTAAATAGGTGGAGATGGGAACTGAGGGCGACTGAGGGAGATGGAAAGCTCGCAGGGATGTATCGATCGCCGTTTGCGCCTACGTTTCTTGCTCGCGAGCAGGCAAACGAGGAACGGCGAATAATGCCGTGCTTGGCCGCGCGTATACACGAAGCTTCGCTCCCTGTTGCCGTCGGCCTCGTCGTCACGAACGTGTAATTCGTACCCTCCGAGCGTCTTCCAATGTTTAACGATGAAGAAACATTCGTAAGGAGAAAAAAAAATCCTCCGCGCGCAACGTCGTCTCTCGTTAGGTAAAAGACATCGCGTTTACGGAAGCTTTTTAACGACCATTGTACCGCAAATTTTGTTTTTAAGGCTCCCTTTTTGCACGTTATAATATACTTGTCATATTTAGAGAGAAACGCAAAATTTAATTAATAAAATAGGAAAGATAAAAAAAGTTTGTCTTGCGTGAAAGAGCTTTAAAATGTGACAGAGAAAAATTGTTAATTATTTTAAAAGTAAAGACCTGTTGTTAAAAAGGAAAGTATATATTTTGCAAGTATACCAATAAATATTATAAATATATCAAAAATCGCACAAACGAACGTAAACGGATGAAAGTATTTTTTATACACGCGCACTGTTGTCGCGACACAAAAGTTGCGATGAATAAAACATCGCGCGAAACGAGGTCAATTTTCATGAGAATTATCGGGGATTTATCTCTTTTCTACGGCTTTTCTCATTTTCGTCGCTCGATGAATCCAGCCGACAAAAACAGACCGATCTCGACCGATAATACAATATTTACACGGGCAGAAGTGTGGAATTAATATACGAAAATTGCTCGGATGCAAATACGACAAGAGATCCATCATAGGATATTAATTACACGGGTCCGTCATTATTCAGGCTCCCTGCAAATCTCCGATACATTATTATCGAGCGTGTATGGTGGCCTAATCTCAGTCCTTTGAGAATACAAGTTTCGAGAGTCTATAACTCACCCAGTAAAGGATTTAACAGAAATCTATTATTAGAAGTCCACGAGAAAAAGTCCTGATTCCTTATTCGGATCTATTTTACTTGTTTAATATAAAAATCATATTTTATAGTTCAAGAATCAATATAGCATGATATCAATAGCAACAATGAAAATAAATTTAATTATTTTCCAATCATATTTTACAAAGGAAGAATTGTATACTTTTAATTCACGAAATGTTTTATTTCGTTATTTATTTCTATTCTAATTATTTGCAAAAGCATTTGAATAGAGAGAAAAGTAAAATTTTACATTTTGTTACTTTTCATTGTTTCATATATAAATATACTATTAAAATATGATACTTTTGGAAAGAAACAATTTATAGAACAGGTAGCATTGATTCGTCGTCGTCACCGCATTTTCCCCTCCGAATTAACGATCCTGCCGTCTCCTGACAGCTGGCCCTTAACTCCGCGCCATGAAATAACCTGTCACCGGTAACAGGTGCTAGAGGTTTATTGCATCGGTCCTAATGCGCTCGCGAGAAGCCAGCGACGCGCGACTTTCTCTGGATTCCTCGCGCGCGAGAAAAATGCGCCCGATGGGTCCTCGCCGCTGAAATATTACGCCCGCTGCAGCAAAATATCTTTGAGAGCACGGTTTTGCACTTCCCTTTGAAGTAAGTCACGGCGGATAGCGCGTCGCGCAGAGGAAAAAGTAGCAGGCTCGGATACGTATGCGAGAGAAAGAGATAGAAAAATGCATTTCTCTACGATGCTCCCGCGTCGAATAAACAAATTCGCGTCATATACGCACGAAGAAAAGAAATATAAATTTATATTATCACATTTCTCTCGTGTGAGCATCGCGTCACAAATTCATTAAACTCGCGACAAAGCATCGTATTTCTATGTACGCGTACGTACAAATAATAAGTAACACGCAATCTGCCTGTATGATTGAATAAATATATATTTCTTTGTGCAGGCAATAATTTTACAAGTTTAAATAAATTAAATATTATATTTCTGTATTGTTTCTACTTTGTCATATTTTCACTTACCGCACTATGTCAGAATTCAAATTATTTTACGACAGGAAAACTGCCAAGTCGCGCAAGATTAAATTATTCCAACAGATTAGTTGAAGAAGTTAATTTATCAAAGTAGAGAACCGACGACAAAAATGTCTATCGCACGAGAGATATATAATTCTTTTTCGTTAAATTACCAAGAAGCTTTGCGTTATGAAAGTCAATATGTCAGCCTCAAATCAGACTCGTGCTGACAGAGTTGATTATACAAGCATCTGCAAAGTTTGTGGAGAAATAAACACGATGTCGCATTATAAATTCAATAATAATACGTGTTTTTTACGGCTTCCGTTTAAACTTCGGAAGAAACCCGATATCAGGTAGTTACATATATAGCTATACAAGGAATTGGATTGTTTGTAAAAGCTTATTTACTAGCGTGTAAACCATGCTATACCTTGTATGTATTTAGTCTGCAGCTTTGAGTGAAATATGGAATAACCGATAAAAGTATATACTATATTTATCTCCTAAATAATATATTTCACTATGCAGTTAAACATTATTTAACAAAAATTATTTAGAAACAATCAAGATTTTATTCGCGCAAGAGAGAGTTATCTGTTTTTAAATAATTAATTAAAAATTCGATGAACGGAGAAATATTCATTTAAAACTTGTATGCTATGAAATAAGAATGCTTGCAATGATATTAATTATTTAATGATAATATCCGCATTTTTATTAACATATAATGTTTAATATTAACTTCGACGTATATGTTTGAAATTTCAGATAAGTGCTACACATTTTTAAAAATTCAATATGTGAAAGGCAATACGCTAAATTTTATTCGATCTCAAAATAATAAAATAAAATTTTCAGAAAATTTAGAGCAAGAAATGAATTCTATGTTACGAACGGAAAATCAATATCGGATTAAAAAGATTACTGACTGAAACTGGCTTCTTCTATTTTCACGCGTCCGTATATCATTATTTATTCCACAGACTGTCATTCAATTAACTTTAAAAATACATTGGTGCCATTTTACAAACATCCAGGTCACAATCTATATATTTTACCAGATATACCAATTAAAAATATTAGTCAAAAATGAGTGATATTACCAAATAAGATTTTGAAAGAAATCGCGTTCCTAAAAAAAAATATTAAATCTCTCTGAATATCTTTTATCAGATAAAACTTAGATTAAATTTTTTTTAAATATAACATAAACTGCACATATTGTGTGTATAATTTGATTGCTATTATTCTCAAAGATATAAATCCTAAATGAGTAAAGCGCGAAGAATATAGAGAATTATATAAAACATCAATTACTCTGCAGCCCACTCATATGAACATTTTACATTTATAATTCGAATTAGATTGTGCACAAGACACATCGTTCAAAAGGCAAGGCGCGAGGATTTCACGAGAAATTTAGTGGCGCATACAAAGCATACAGTGTGCACCACGATTGTACTCGGTAGTCCATTAATGTTACCTCCGGTACATGACGTTCTCTAATTAGGTCATCGCTTATGCTTACCTTGTTATGTATGCGCGTTTTAGGCGCTCGATATGATAAGAGTGGAGCTCATTATGCAACGATCCCAAAAGCTTTTTCTTTAAAGAAGAGTAATATTTCTTTCGCGCATATAATTATTTATAATTTATCAAAAATACTTTCGCGAAAGGAAAAACTTTGTAATACAAGTTGTAAACTTATATATACGATAATATCGATTTTACATATATAACATCGAAATATCTTTTCAATATCATATAACAAAAATGAGATAAGACATAAATAAATAATTTATGATGCCCTGCTTTCCTTGCGCGCGAATATAATATTAATACACAACGAATCCTCGAGAGTATCTATCTATAATTTGGTTTATCTGTGCGCGATAGAATCTACTTTCCAGAATAGCACAGCTGAATAAATCGTTTACGTCATCAAGTTATAATAATCGGCTGTAACATTTTATCAGCATTTTTCAGTGCGTTTATCAAGCAAAGCACAATATTCTACGGAATTTAGGAAGTCTTCTCGCTCCCAATTAAAATAACAACTATATAATTCCTATAATAAAATCACATCGTTCAAGTATCTCGTATCACAAAATTATGCGAGGAATGTATTCGCGCCTGGCGACTTGGAAATCCGAAATCGGGCATAATTTGCGCGCCAAGGGTTGAAGCCGTTGCTTCGCGAGAAGAGGGAATGATATCGATGTTCGGGTCTTACCTTGCGTGCTGCCGTTGGGCTGGCCGGCCTGCTGCGGCATCCCGGGATACATGGGCGAAGGATGGGGCGAGGGTTGATTGTTGCTGGGCGGTCCTGAATGCGGGTTGGCAGTCGTCGGGGTCGGCGTAGCCGAGGGTATCGCTTGCTGGGATTGCTGCGCGTTAACGGCGGACGTAGGTGTTGCCTGAGGGGTGCCATCGCCACCCCCAAGGCCACCCGTCACGATCCCGCCGGACGGTTGTTGTTGTTGCTGCTGCTGCAGCGGTGACAGCTGTTGCTGTTGCTGCTGCGACGCTTGCTGCGGCGTCGGCGGTTTTTGCGCGTCCGACTCGTTTATCGTTTCTGCAACACGAGAGAAGGTTCGATCCTGAGTTATCAATTCGTCCGAATATAATTACGGCATTCTTGTATCTTAAGGAATTTCCCTGGTATTCGAGCGAAAATTCATTCGCAAACGTCTAGGAACGAATCAACTTCCAGAGTGATTAGACGAAATTTGCATGGCAAATTTTGTTACGTATTTAAGAAAACACGAAGACGCGCTAGGCTTTATTAATCAATGCAACATGTTTGAAATTCTATCCTTCGAACGGTGTAATGTTAGTTGAGTTTGCGAGATAAGATATAAAAGAAACGAAATACGTTTACGTAAAGCAAAACAAAGGGGAGATGGATCGGATTTATATGGAAGGATTGAATTTAATTCAACATAGGAGATTCCCTGGACATCGAGCTGGATAGAATTTCAAAGGTCAAGAGGGTTCGCGGTGTGTGTAGAATTTCGTCCAATCGGGTTAGAATTTCGGATTAGAATTTGAAAACCAGGAAATCAGTGCACAAAAGGATCACTAAAATTTTAATACAATTAATTTGGTTCACCGCAGAAACGACCATCAAATTAATAAACAAATATACAGTAAGTATATATATGAAAATATATTTATGCGTAAAGAAATTTTCAGCGCTAATATTTCGACACATCGATATTCGAATTCGATATATGTCGAGTAATGATGACGTTGAGCCCTCCATATATCACACTGACATCTGATCTCGGTATATTGATATTTTTCTTGCTTACTCCCACGCGATATCTCTCGCTACATTCTTCTTTCGCTCAGAACCCCGTATTTCCAAGTTTCCATCGACTTTACGGTTAATTTAAATAAACGTATCTTTCTCGTAGCACCGGCAGGATGACGTGCGTTGATAAATAGCTTTACGTCATTGCCGCGGACAAGTTCTGCAACTTTTCGCGATAATCTGACGAAACTGTGAGCGAGATACTTTAATTACAAAGGGTGGAATATAGGTGCTCTGCGCATTCTTTCTCCCTCTCTCGAAATTTACTTGGAAAAGTTCGAATTGTTCGGATGAAGATATGACTAATGATGGAGTAGTTTCGGAATCAATAGAATTCTCAAGGTTTCCTTGATGGAGGATATACCTGATAACTATTGTTATGTGTTAAGTACCCCAAGACAGGGAACACGTATTAATCACTCGAGAAGTTTCATAGTCCTTGAACGGCGAAAAGAATCAAAGAAGCGTTTTGAAATCTGACTTTCTCGACGCTAATTAGCCGTGCATCTTCAAGCATTGTTATAGAAGATGCGTAATTATAAAAAATCAGTAATTCTACGATTGTTCCATCCTTCGATAAATGAAATAAATTCTAACCTTTCTTTGCAAAAATGTGTATGCAATGTTAATAATAATTATACTTTTTCTCAAAAAGAGTACTTACTTTTACTTTTCTATCAATGCTGGGTTAAAATTATTTCTCGAAACTTTATGTAAATTAACAATTGACGTCGCAAATATATATATATATATATATATATATATATATTTTACGTGTTAAAAAATGAAATCGTTTATCAATACTATATAACAAATAATCGAACAAACAGACTAGCTCCACATCCGGATGAAACGCGAAACTATACTCTAAAGGCCTTGTACAACGTCGATAAGAAGGAAAGCACTGGTATCGTATCGCGATAATGTCAACAAATATATGTTACTATTAATATCGCGGATAAGAAACGATAAGAAAAATCTTGGAAACGTGACTCGGAACTCGAAAGTCAGCTTGGCAATTAATCGCGTCATTTTGGCGCGACACGCGCGACTAGTCGCAATTGCGGAAATTGAGTTCACGTCCACCGCCGTAACGACTGTAAAACGCAATTACGACCCTTATACCGGGTTAGGGCAAGTTGTCAACACCCCAGTGGTACGTTACTCGTTTCCTGTCCAGTCTGCCGAAAGGGCGGATACTGTTTTCGGCGCGCCAGGTAAACGGAAATGTCTGTCTGCCGCGTGCAAATTTCAATATTCCAAGAATATTCGCAGATTTCCAAGTTTCATGCAATGCGAAAATTTTATCGGTCAAGAAAGACAATAATAAAAAAAAGGAATGGAATTTAAGATGCATTTGAAAAACAAAATTGCTACAGAAAATGCAAATAATCTAAAATAATTTGTATTAAGAAAATCTGTAGCTGCATCTAGAATCTGAATCTCGAAAGGCTTTGAGTGAAATCGAAAAATAAATTATAGTAGCAAATATATATATATATATATGAAGAAAGGGCTCACCATTTTCCGGAAACGATGTCGATCGTATAACGGGCAGCAATATCCCTTTCTGCACCAACTCATCTCTGCTGGCACGTACTGAGATTTTTCTCTCGAGCGCTATTAACAAAGAGAACGAATGCGAACGTCATTATATTGTTTGCTGTGTTATCTGTAACACGTAGTTTAAATGGCATGATTATTTTTGCAGCACGATATCGCGCGTGATAAACCTTTAAAACGTGTCACCGTGTAATTGTAGAACGTGAACATGATTAAAATGCGTTAACGTGCATTCCTCCATATGCAAACATTTTAGTTAAATGTATAAATTAAAATTAAATAATATTTATATATTTTAAAACGCAGAAATTTCTTCTGTGACATAACGTTCGGTATAAAAAAAACCACAATACAAAATTTATCATTAAATTCTCTCTATTACGTAAAATGTTCCTGGTTTAAATACCATTTAAATTGCAAGTATTAAATTTAATTTAATTATGTTACTTAGTCTATAAATATACTTATACTCACATAACGAAGCGGCTTCGAATTTATCCGATTTCTTTTTCCGCTTCCATTTCCAGGGTTTGAAGAGTCTACCGAGTGCCGAAAATTTACTTTTTCTTTCCAAGGGCGGCGTTCTCGCACCCGAACCCAAACTATTTGTTCGTAAAGCAGCACCATTTTGCTTTTTCGCTGTAACAAGAAAGAAATTTTACATTAATATATATTGTAACATTTTTTCGTATACGAAAATACACTCAATTCGCGATAGAAAGAATTGAATTTTACATTTATGCTGAACCATTTAGCCGGAACATTTAAGCCTTCATATATCATTCTTTAACATTATTGCTCTCATAAAGTCATTATATTAAAATTATTCAGTGTAACAGTATGTAAATGTTAATCGTCGACAATGATTATTTAAATAAATATGCAAATATGCAAGTTGGTTACTTGCATACGATACAAATTAACTTTATCCACACTTGCACAGTATAGAAGTATCAACCTGGGATATGTTATCCAGATTTTCCGTTTTTCCGATAAAACGTAGCTGCCTATATTACCCGCGTTTACCGACCAGGGATGCAAGATTTCCCATCAACCCTTTTATCGGCGCTCGTAAGGGTGGAAACGAATAAACGACCATCGATCCATTGGTTTATTTAACTACGGATAATCACGATTTCTCTTATTCAAAAATTTAAGCTATATATTTTATGTATAATATAGCTTAGAAATTAAAACATGAGAATTTTGACAAGAATTTTAAAAAATATTTCCTTAAAATAAAAAATCTTATTAATCAATAAAATTACTTGCACGATAACGTTGCTTGCTTATAAGATAGATATCTGATAAAATTTTACCGTAACTATAATAACCACTAATATATTATAATATTTTACAAAATTATTTTGCAAACAACATTCAATTATAATTTTTATTACAAATGAAACAAATTAATAGGCAAAATGCATTTGTAAAATATAATAAGTATATAATAAATATAAATTCTTTACGCAATGTTATATTAAATACAATACTATTCTACAATTATTCCTGCAATGCGTGAAGTGACGAAGATGAAAAGTTTGATAAAAACACTATTTTTTCGTGTGCCAAGTCGTGTGTATGTGTGTATGTTGTGTGTATCTAACATTTCCGCTCAATTTCTATGCAAATTTTTTTGGCGGACATGGAAAGTGCTATCTCCCATTTTATCTTTCTCTCTCATCCTATATTGTACTAAATCAACTGTACTAAATTTTCGTAACGACACAAAGTATTACGCAAAAAGTGTCAAAATAAAAAGTTAGCAAAATAAAAATATAATATTCTACGAGAAAAGCATTGCAAGCAAAATACATTTTTAAATATACACATAAAACTAATTATTGAATAAACAGTAGTTTTATATTTTTAATATTGTGCTTTTGTGTTCTTCTCAAATATTACGTATACTGGCTGATACGTTAAATACGAGAGTTTATTTTAAAATATTAGTTGAAAACAAAAGTTGAATTTATTTGATTTTATGCATTATTTCATATATTTCAAATAAAAATAATAATACCATTATTAACGTATTTTCGAAAATATAGCGATAGCTATCTTGAATCCAGAAAAAATGTATTAATCCTTATACGAGAAAACATTTTTTATTTTATTTTTATTTTTTATTTCACTTTTTTATTCATCCTTGTTCTATGTTCTAGTTGATTTTACTGCCAGACAGTAACACAACTCATCATAACATGAAAGTCAACATAAAATCAATACTCGACAACGGCACCCCATAGATAATTTAGCGAGTTTTCCATCGTGTTTTTCCGAAACGTTATCCAATCACTCCGAAACTGAAAGAGAAATGTGCCATAGCAATTTTAGCCGACAAAAAGTAAAAAAAAAAAAAGATTTATTAGTGTCAAAACCCCATCGCGAACTGATCACTTGTGTCAAACACAATATGTTTACAATATCAATATTACAACAAATATAATCAGATGCTGACGAAAACAAATGTGATACAGTAAATCAATCTTCCGGTATATGTCATACGCATAACGAAGAATGTATCGAACACGCGCATTAATAAACATTTACAAAACACAATAAGGTCAACATTAAACAAAATTTAATTGCATTGTCAAAGCTTTACGTAAGCTAATGAGCAAAATTTTTAGAGACAATATCTTTTCAATTATCTAGACAAACACAATCAAGATTAATTAAATACACGTTTTTTACATTGATCTTCTTTACTACTGAAAATAAAACTCACCCGGAGGCAAAAGCGAGCAAATACATCTAATTAGAGATAACACAAACTTAACCGTGTAAAACTCGACTCTACAATTAGAAACAAGGCATCCGTCTTACTTTCGACCCTGTCCTTATCGCGCTATCGTCTTGCAAGAAAAGAGAGAGTTCGTTTTAAGAGATCGTTCCCTGAATACGTCCTTTCAACCTGCACTTATCAGCCATCTGCTGTCTTCCTGTTTGCAGCGCCCTTAGTACATAATATAGTGGTTGCTGCCCTCTCGCGTCTCTGGAGACGTTTTACCCAAGCGCAATCGCGGCAGCAAACAAGAAGAACTAAAATATATGTAGCAATCTTTGCAATTGATCAAATAAAAAAATCAAGACAATCACATATTGTACGAAAAATATGTTTAAAATTAAATTGTGTGAAAATAAAATTGTGCGGCTTCGAAGTAGCAAGTCAATTTCTTATCAAATTTGTAGAAACTAATTAACGTATCTACGTTGTTTCAATAAATGCTAATAAAATATTGCAGCATATTTAAAAAAAAAAATGTGCGATAATTTCTTTACTTATTCACGCATGCTAGAAAAAAAATGGATTAATGCGGAAAAATTATTTTCACTACACAAAATTTTAATTAATACTTGATATCGTTGACAACTTTTGTCGATATAAAAAATGTCGGCAAAATTTACTTTAAAATCCACTTCGAAAAGAAACTATTTTCTAGACTATCGCTAAGGAAAAGAGAAATTTTCCCATAAGCACAGTCATAAACAACCCATGTCGCCCTCGCTCGCGTCGTCGCCGACCCTATGGTGCATAATGCAAAAGCTCCCGTATATATCTCGGGGAAAAAGTGCGACGAGGGTGAAAGGTGACGGAAGGAAAGTGCGTCGTGCACGGTTGAACGATGTCGAACGGCGATTCTGAGAAACCCCCCCGTGGGGAATAATAGTCGATAACGTGCGGTAGGGCAGTTTTGCGGGCGTAAGGTAGAAGCGAGCGATTACGGCAGCCTTGAAGCACTCCTCCGGGACTCTCGTAACGTCTTGGAGAGCGAACTGCTCTTTTGAACAGAGCAACTTTCGAAGCGTGACGTAGAACGAAGCTCGCTTAAATAACAACCGCTTAATTAGCCGTCGAAGCGTTAATCCTCCCACGATAGAAGTTATTAAAATAAATATCGCGAGTAAAGGAGAGTGAATCTTCGACGGTCGAAATATGACAGTGCGCGTGAATAAATTTAGGAAAAACGTTGCGGGCTCAATTTTGATAAAGAAATCAGTTCGAAAAATACGAGTATTTATTAAATAATAATATTATTATTATTATGTTTGTAATAGAGACACGCGAGAAATTATTTCGTATAATTTTTTCGTGAAATTAAAATATTTTTCTATAGATTCAAATATTACATCACCTATCTTTTTATTTCATAATTCAATTATAAAAAATGTTAAATGTCATTTCAATTATTTTTATCTGACAGTAAATGCACGCATGTAATTATTATTGCATTATTGTCAAATTGCACTTCCTAAGTATAGACGAAAGTTTTACTCTCTGAGAGTGAAACACGTACGATAAGCTCTACTTTATCTCCCGCAGGCTTTCCCCTTTATCTTACGAAAGAAAGGAAAAGAGTATAGGCCCCAATGCCAAAGTGGAATAATTGACGCCACAAAGCACTTCCGCTGTTCCTATGGCGATCTATTCACGCGTGTCAAAAACCGTCGAGAGCTGTTGCATTACAGCTGCAGACAATGGCAATATTAATGCAATAGACCGTATTCACCATTGTTCGAAAACGTGCAACATCTTATACAAGAATACTCTTGCAAAGAAAAAAAGATGAAAGAAAATCGATCTCGACGCAATCTTCTAATCGGCGCAATTATGTCATTAGCAATGCATGACAATATCGCTATATATATATATATATAATAGAAAAAGAAAAAAAAATATAATGTGTAACGATGAAAAAAGTATTAAATTTATCACGTTAATAAAAATGTGAATAAAATTTAAATTACGTAACTTATTCTATAACGTTTCATTAATTAAAAAGTTTGCATTATAATTGAAAAATTAACATTTCTCTGTTTAAATGAAATTTTTAATAACATACTAATAATAATGAGCGGATAATTTTATAACTCTCATTTAAGTTACTGATTCTCATTACAAAATGGTTGCAAATTAACCCGATTAATTTTTATGATGAGTTGCATTAAGTCGATTTTATTGGTACATTGATTAATATATAATAGATAACTTTGCGGAATTATTGTGCGAGAGTGAACAACGTGTCACAACAGATTTTATAATTTCCAATTAGAGTGTAATAAAGCGCAATAAAAGCTCCCAATAAGATTATTTAATTAGAAATCAATGAAAAAAATTGATTTAAAATTACGTAAATTGACAACTATTAGGCTAAAGTTTCTACGATCAATAATCTCATCGTCACCACGTGAGCCACCAATCATGCACGAAATACATATTAAATATTGGATGAATCATAACAACAATTTCAATAAGCGAATTAATCAAATTCACAGTCGAAATTGAAATTTATATTATAAAAAATCATAATTAATATTAATATAATTATAATATTATTTGTAAAGAGATTACAAATAAAGCCACGAAAAACACTCAATTGAATTAAAATTAATTTACATTCTGCTGATGCTCTTATATCTAATAATTGAAAATTGTATAAAGAATTATAAAAAAAAGAATTGTAAATTGACTATGTAGAGATATTACGGATCTCATTACGTTAAATTACTTTAAAATTGTGCTTTATATTTTTTCATCAAGTACACAGTTTACGCGGTATAGTATGTTTATCGAGCGTGTCGTAATTTACGGATCAAGTTAATGGCACAAAGCCGCGATTACGCCCACAAAA